CTCTCTGCTTTTCAGATGGCCCTGATTTATGCCTACCACATTCCCTAGGTGGACTGCCCCTGTTTTCTTCCCTTGCCATGAACTTGTTCTCTTGTTTGTTTCTCTGCCTCCTTTCTGCAGTGTGCATCTGTTGCTATCGTAATTTAGACAGGATCCGCTTCTGTCCTGGCATTCGTACCTGTTTCCCCACTGAGAAACGTCTTCTCTTCCACTCTCACCCCTTTGCTGGACCACCAGGGTAAGAATGCAACTCATGCGAGGACAATCCAGGCATGGTGTTCCCCTCCCCCAGGGGCCACGGCGTTCAGTTCAGGTGACTCAATTAGAGCCAGTGAGACTCTAAGATTTTGCTAGAAACCTTAGGAGAGAGGCACAAGACCTTTCCCATCAGATTTAAACCTAAAAAGATTCAAGTTCAAGGCCACTGGCAGCTAAGTTACCACCCTGGGGAGCCTGTGAGCAAAGTCAGGTGAGAAACGATGACATCTCGGAGCAGGGTGGTGGCAAGGGAGGTTAGCGATGCGGATGGACATAAGGACTCAGCAATGGTTGGGTCTGGTGGGGGAGGGGCCCCTCCAGGCAAATGGAAGGGTGGTGGTGCCGTCCCTCCAGGAGAGGGCGCCAATATGTGAGGTAGCCCCTAGACCCAGTTTTAGACACATTGAATATAAGGCTTTGGGAACAAAATAGAAAATGTAAGCAATAACTGTCAGGTTTAGTGATGGAAGTGAGATGTTCTCCAGTCCTTGTCATGAGCTTCTCAAGGGCTTTATTCCTTATTTCAGCAATAAATGAACTTGACTATTTTACAATAATTTCAGTGATGACACAGTTGTCCAAAGGCCACCGTCCATATGACTGCTCTCCTTTCCCAACCTCTTACTAGTAGGAAGTTGCTCAATAACCGATCACTCTCACAACGAACCTCTAATTAATGCAAAATCCCCAAACCAAGAGAGGCCCTCTTAATTCTACCTTTTAACTACCTGACAAGCATTAGAGCACCCAACAGTGGTGACGTCTGTCTAGGAATGTATGTCTAGGGATGTCTGCTGCCAGTTGAAGAGAGGGAGGGCTCCTGTCAAAGGCAGGTCTGTTGCTTCCTTTCCACAGGTGGAGACATACCTCCCACATTAATGTCAAGAAACAAAGCCAAATATTTTTTAATAATGATGGGTCACAGGTCCTGGAGACCTCCTTTTAGCATGACTGTTGTCAGATATACTTCAAGACACCACTCACAAATGCTCTCTCAGTTTTGGCCATACACATACGTCCATTATCTACATCATGACGGCATCAGCATCAGAACGTCTCAGCATCATCAGAACAACAGGATGGGACCTGCTAATTGGCCTGGGCTGTTATTTTTCTTTTTCTTCTGTCTCTGTGCTGTCTCAGTCAACTTTCCCAAGCATAACTTAGTTGGTTACTTCATTTTGTCCCTGTCACTAGCAGCATCCAAGCAAAGCCATTCCTGAAATATAACTTCTGTCTCCAGACTCTTCACAAGTATAAACTCCCTTGTTAATTCTAAATGAGTATGTGTGAAGATGAGACCATGCACCTGACTTCACTAAAATGAAATATGGACCTACTTAGAGCTAACGCACAAATTGTTGAACAATAAACAACCAACTGGAAGAGTAAACTAAATTTTTTAAAGATTTTATTTATTTATTTTTAGAGAGAGGAGAAAGGAGGGAGAAAGAGAGGGAAAGAAATATCGATCAGTTGCCTCTCGCACGTCCCCAACTGGGGACCTGGCCCACAACCCAGACACATGCCCCAACCTGGAATGAAACCCTCCAGGACTAAACTAAAATTTTTTCATAGAAAAGTAAAGCTGTACTAAGTAATAATGAAGGAATATACTGTGGTCTGGTGGAAACTCTCAAGTAAGAGATTCACTTTAAAGTTCTTAACTCAGTTCTGTTTTCTGCCACCACTTAACTGCAGATATAGTACTAGACTGCTCTGTGCCTCAGTTTCTTTTTGTGTAGAAGGCAGAGGGTAATGAATCCCATGCATGTTTCCTATAAGAAAAAACAACTATATAGAACTCAATCTCTTTCTAAAAACAGAGGATTTGGGTTTTTTGCAAAACTGTGGCTAATTCACCTAAAGGCTTTCCTTGAAATTTTATCAACAGATGGATCTTAATAAAAGAGAAATAAAAATAATGCAAGGGCGGGATGAAAAATGGATGAACCTCATCCAAGCAGAAGGGTTGACATAGCCTCCAGCAGCAGCAGCTCAAAACTGTCTTGAGCCACGTATTTGAAAGGCTGGGTGGCCACGTGTGTGAAGCAAGGAGGTCATGGAGACACCTGGGCGAGTCCGTCCTCACGTGGAGGTCAGGCTCAGTGCCACCCTGCCCAGGCTCTCCTCGCTGACCAGTAATTGTTACGCCTCTGGTGTGCCACCGAGGCTTCCTCTCAAGGTTTGCCACTCCCTACTTCTTCTAAGATGCAAAAACAGTCCCACACAGATGGCTGGGCCTCTTTTCTTCATTTTATGAGGGATACTATCCAGAGTTACTATAACTCTTGGTCCTTAAGGGAAGAGGGAATGGGTATTGTTACTTTTACATCCTTTGTTAACGTCAAGGAACCCAGGCACATAATTTTTAATAATGAGAATCTGGATCAAGTTCAGTGTATAGTTCAAAAATGTATTTCAATTAAGCTATTTAATAGAGTCTTGGCTTTTCCCCTAGCCCATCGCACTGCCATATGTATTCAATAATTCAAGCTCATTCTCCCCCTCCGAGTCACTGAATAAATGTGATGTTTTACTTTGAAAGTTTAGTTTCTCTTCCACCACGGTTTGCCAAGTTTCAACAATAAGTCTTCATATCAATACATTTTCAGCAGAAGCACCATGAAACCTGTGATGTGAAACCTGTGAGGCACCTGAGCCACTCACGTGCCTGCCCAGTGCTCCCACACCGGGCAGGTGAAATGCAGTCTGCAGCCCTGACACAGGTCCACGTCCACACCCACGCATAGCAGGTGCTTGTGCTCCCAGACATAATCCAACAGTGACTCTGCCTCCTTGAGCCACAACGCCTCCATGTGACCTCATTCATTGTGCATTAGGTACTTCCTGGGTGCCAGGCCCTGCAGTAAATCTTGGGGACACAGCAGTGAACACAACGTCACCACCAACGCCTGTTTTCAAGAACTGCCAATATCCCTGCCAACCTTTCCATACCAGCCTCTATGAAACAAATGCCTGCTTAGCCAGACCTTGGAGCGTCAATGAGCAATGGGCCTATAAGCAAGAAGGTACCTCAGGAATACACAGGGTCAAGTGTCTGCAGGATACATTTTCATTTATAAAGCATGTTTATATGAGGGGCCTCACAAAATATTGTCACTTTTTGGTGGGTGAGAAAACTGGGGCCCAGAGAAACAACTTGCCCAAGATTATATAGAATATAGACCATCAAGGATAAGGGCCCAGATTTCCTGACTCCATATAAAACCTCAATCCCAAAAGGGCCACAAAGGCCTGAAAGTAACACCCTGAATATCGACTGACCTGCTTCTATGAAAGCTTTATGGGGAGCAGGTCACTTCGTAGGAGGGGCTTCCATTTCTCTTCCACTTAGGGAAAAAGAGATAGAAATTCTGAATCATGTGCCTCACCAGATCCCAGTGAAGAGGATGTTATGAACAATCATCAGAAAAGCAGTATCTTTTGACCCTGATTCATCTTCCTCTTAGGTATCCAAATACAGAGACACAAGGGGGACGAAAATGACGGCGATGATGGCGACAACGGCAATGATGGTCATGATGATGCTGATGACAATGGCTAGCATGTACTCAGTGCTGTCTATGTTTTTAAATGCATTATCTCATTTAATCTTCACAAGGCTTCTGTTGTATTCTCCCATTTTGCAGATGAGAAAACTAAGCGTCAAAAAAAATGAGGGACTTGAGCAAGTTCACAAAGCTTGGAAGGAACAGGGACAAGAGTCCAGCCCAAGCCTTCTGACTGCAGCGCCTATGCTTTTCACCTCTGTATTTGTCTTAAAACTGGAGAGATTTTGGTGTTTTAGGTTACAAACCCTTCTTGGTGTGTAAACTGCCAGGAGCTCCCCTGGGAAGGGGATATAACATAATGGACTGCAGAGTCCTAGAATGGCCTCCCATAACACAGGACCACAGACTCAAAATTGGATTCCATGAACGGTGGCCTTTGGATGGAACAGAATAGGCTCAGTCTGTCATTCTGATTGGTGTCACTGCTGAGCAGGAGAAGGCTGGAGAGGGAAACTCAGAGGTGTCTGACACTCGGGGAAATTTTCACCTTGGCACCTGATGAAGGGAGAGTCACTGAGGCACCTGTGCACAGCCCATGAGCCATCTGTACCCGTGGCTACAGGTTTCCCAGCCTGAGCTGTAAGGGAAGGGGAGTTAGAAACTCAGCAAAAAGCACAGAGCGGTGGGGGAGGGGAAGCCTACCAAGCTCATCACCTTGAGAGGTGTGTTCCACAGAAGCAAAAAAGGAGAGCGCACAAGTTACAGATCCAGTGGGTTTACAGCGGCCCCTCCTCACTGTCAGACACAGGGTGATTTATTCCCGTGGCCTGAAGCCAAGTTTTTTTTTTCTCATCCACAAAACTAGAGTAAGAAAACTGATAAGGCTGCCATGAGGAATAAATGAAGTTATTATGAAGATCTCTTCGAGTGCCAAGAGCTTTGTGAATGCTTCGTGATAGAAATGATCCTTTCCCCCACCATCTTAATCATGCCTGTACATCCTTGCTTTTAGGAAGGCAGAGGGAGTGTGGGGTGCCAGGCGAGGCGCTGCCCCTGGAGCCGGCCTGTTAGCACAAGTGGCAATGCTTTAGTTATTTGCAGAGCTACCAAGCTCTCCTCGTTCCAGGAAAGTCGGGCTTGGCTGGGGGCCAAGCGTGCTATATTCAGCTCAGCTCCCTCTCCCTCCCCGGCCCTATCTCTGAGCAGAGGCCATGCCCGGGGCTCTACCTTGCTGCTTTTGCATGGTGGTGAAGTCCTCAAAGGTGAGTGTGCGCACAGGGGGTCTCCAGAACGCGTAGGTCTCCATGATGGCTTCCAGTCCGGTTCTGCAGAGAGAAAAGCCAGCAGAGGAAGTTGTAAATGATCCCAAGAATTACACTGACTTTTACAGATCCTGGGTGGTCTGTCTGGAAAGTGGTAGATACAAAGGCACGAGAGAGAGCACCACCAGGAAATGAGCCTGGCCCAGCACAAGGCACAGATGACACTGGGTGGCAGAAGGAGGAAGAAATGAACCCAATGCAGGTTATTTGCAAGCAAGTCATAACTATGATGGAATTTCCCTCTAACCTTTCTCCAAAGGAGGTTTGGTCTGCATGAAAAACAGAACACGTTTAGATCAGGGTCGCTACTGTCATGAACAGAATTGAGCAGAGAGTAGCACTGGCTGTGTCCCTAGCACAGGACAATGTCGTCATCATTACCAGAGTGCATTGACACAGCCTGTCCCAGAGTCCACTCCACCACTCGGTAGGTGGAGTCAATGAAACTGACAAGCAGGGCAGGAGAAATGAAAGGTGAGGTAGGCAATCAAATATACCTGAGTTTCTGCTGCAACAAGAAGTACCTACCTGAAGGCCAAGGAAGGGACTGATCCCAGAAATTACACCTTAAACCAAAAGACCGACACACTTCTGCAAATATTTATCTGTATTTTATAATCTAATAATCAAGCTGGTCTTTGAGGGTCAGATATCTGGGGTCATCTGACTTCAGAAAACACCCAGCAGTTTGCCAGATATATTACTTTAAGGCTTCTGTTTCGCTGATGTTGGGAACTCCATTAATTGAACTATCCATGCCCTGCTACTTTACCCTTTGATCAATTCTCTCTGTATCACATATATGAGGTGTTGGCAGACATCAATTTAACATAATTATCCAGGTTATCTCAGACATATTCTTGCTGATATTCCATATTGTCAAGACAGAGTATTAGTTGGGGTTTCATTTGAAGCTTTCAACACAGCTTCTGATTATTGGCTTTTTCTTAAAATCAACTGTTTCTATCTACGTGGAGGAAGGGAAAGTTCAGGGACAATGGAGAAGGAAAATAGAGAAGTGGCATAAGTCACTGTAAGGTAACATGGTGTCCCTTCCTAGAAGAGACAAGCTTTCCCTCTTGAGATGAAACTCAGGCTGCTCGTCCGTCTCCCTAGGTAATACATTTCCAGAATTCTCTTCAGTCTTGCATACCAAGAAGAAAGTGAGAAGCTTTATTTTAAGTGAGAACAAGTATCCCTTCCTTATAAATAGGAAATATATTTCCAGAGTTCTCTTCAGTCTTGCATACCAAGAAGAAGTGAGAGGTTTTATTTTAAGTGAGAACAAATATCCTTTCCTTATAAATGACTATAAGATCCCCTGAGGTTCTTCTCAGATGAGCTGCTGATATACTGATTGGCTCTTTGTGTTGGAAAATCTCCTCTCTGAGCAGGCCTTACTTACACAGTTAACTTTCTAAAGTGTTCTCTGGAATCTTGGAGGCTTTAAATACACCAATGTTGGCAAATCAAACTCTGTATTTTTAGAAGAGGTGGAGAGAAGAGGGTGTTGCATGGTGTTTATTAGCTGTTAATCTGTTAAAAGTAGGAATAGAAGACATCTCCACATAGTCACCCTACATTAATGCTGAATACAGTACATGAAACTATTTGTGGAGAGAAAGAGTCCCAGCAATTAGGAAGTTCAGAATAACAAGGGGATAGGCAGGTAAAGCGACATTGCGTCTCGATGAATGTAAGAAATAAGACAGGCTGAGCTCTTACGACTTCGTTTTGGAATGTTGGTGGCCCATTAGAACATCTTAGGGTTCCTCTTAGTGGCATGGGTGGCTCACTGCAAATAGCATGGTATTTATTGTTCCACCTCCTTATTCCATTCATGTACCGATGATGGTGACAAAATATTAGCTCAAGGACAAAGAACAGTCTCTTCTTTATAGTAAGGTGACAGAAGACTGTACAGTAACAATAACATACTGGTGTGCTGCCAATATTATATTCATTAAAGAAAGAGAAAATGAACTTTGATTTCATTTTCATAACAGGCAAAAAGACTGTGGAAAATTTATTAATAATTTTATTTAAAGCAGTCAACTCTATATAGGACAGTGACCATTTATCCAAGTCTAAAATCAAACTGTAAGATTGAGTTATAGAATCATAGATTTTAAAAATAGGAGAGATATTGGGTGTCATTAACTTCTCCTTTCTATGACACCATCTTGGGTGGTTATACAGCCTCTGTTGGAGTATTTCCCAAGGAAATCGTTCAGTTCTTTGAAAGATCTATTAAAAAGTTCTTTCTGACTGTGGGCTGAAATATCTAATGTAACTTTTACCCTCTGGCTCCATTACTGATGGGTGAATGGTGAGAGTGCCCGACATTCCCACGTCCTCATCATGGAGACTTGCCTTAGCTGTGAAAAATGTAATGGGGAACATGCCACATAGGGAAGCACCCCGGGTCATGTAGTCCAGGGGTCTGTCACAACAAGGGCCATTTTGATGATGGAATTGAGGGGGAGGGACTACGGCTACCCAAAAATACTGGCTAAGACCACACTTATTCTTAACAACACTTTACGAATCCATTGCAGATCCATCTCTCATAGCTTTATCCTAGACCTTCACTGAAGCAATTTATGTATTCAAAGTGTATCTCTTCTTAGAAAAAATAACCATGTTTGTTTACTACATGCCACATCTTATTTGTCCTCAAATCCCATTAAGCTTCATTGGCTAGATTTAATTGTTAGAAAGTACTAGTTTTATATATCAAGATTTAGAAAAGTGCTGTGGCAAGATAAGTATTAGATAATTCACCTCCATCAAGACTAGCATGTCTGCTTGGGATCCCATGACTTTTTAGGTCCCAGTACTTAGCATAATGCCTGTTACATGGCAAGATCTCAATGGAGATAAGTCATCATTCCATGAACTTCAACCAGCATTCATTCTTCAAAGCCTAAAATTTAGGAAAACAACTTGATGTAAAACCAAGACTCTGAAGACAGAAGGAATCCTCTGTTTTTGGAGACTTGGGAATTATTTCTGTCACTGACAGTGCCTTTCTTGACTCAGGTCTCAGAGAGGTTTCAGTTTTCCTTCGGTTTCTTCCATTCTGGTCATGGAATTTCTGACCTTCCACAGGGAGGCCAGTCCATTCTACCCTTCTCTTCTTTTACAAGAATTCTTGCCAACCACCTATTGACATCTTTGGCCACTTGGATGTCTTTTCAAAGTTTATCCTGAGTAACACATTGTTTACTTATTCATCATCATTATATCCTATTTTTTATCTCAAGGATCTTAAATGTGAATTCATTGTCTAACAAATAAAAAAAGTGGTCTTAGGTAACCAAATATCATTAACATGTTCCACATGGTGAGCCACTCTGGGTTTGTTGCACACCAGAGACCTGATGTCATCTCTGAGGTTTCCAATCAGAGACGATCAAATTGGCAAGTGTCCCTCTCTTGCTTACTTTTCCCTGTTTGCTCCAGTGACAACAGAGATCATATCCAAACTGTTTTTGTTCAGTCCTTTGGCTGTAATCACTGCTTTGCTCTCCAGGCCTTTCCTCTCCAGACTTTTCAGCCTGCTCCCTGGCCAAACCAACAGAAAGTGCTGAAGAAGCAGGAGAAAAGCAAAGACAGGAGGCAAGTCAAAGAGTTCTTGCAAATTGATGATGCTTTGAGATCCACAGATTTGGAAAAATAGCCAGACTATAGAGAAATATTCTCCTAACCTTCTCATTCAAAAAAAAATTGCTGGGACCATCCATTTAAAGTTCAGCAAATATTTGAGAATTATAACAATTACAACTATGTTCAGGAACTTATTAGGTAGTACACTAATGCATGTCCGCTTATTTGTCTTGAGGTAGAGGGCTACTTTTATGTTTCTTCTGCTTGTTTTCTCTCTAGTTCTGCCTTTGGACTCTTCCCTCATCCTATTTACTGGTAACAAGGGAATATATGCTAGGAGTTGAAAAAAACCACTGGTCATTTCTCAATAGAAGACAGTCAAAAGCTAAGGGAAGTCTACCAATCAAGATCTTGAAATCATAAGGGAGTTACCCAACCAAAAAAAACAATTATGTTAGGTTCAGGAGATAGTAAAGTAAAAAAGACACAAGATCTTTATCCTTTAGGCACATCCTATTCAACAAGAAGCACATAAATGACTAATTTCTGAAAAGTGTGATAAGTGCTGCACTGGAGATATGTAGATACCATGGAACACTGAGCCAGAAGTACTTAATGTGCCTAAAAATCCAAGGAAGAGCCCATAAAGGGCCAGTTATTTAAGCTTAATGTTAAATAGTACTCAGCAGTCTGCTACAGGGAGGCAGAAAGAACTTTCTTAGTAGAGTTAACAATGTATGTTAAGACTTGGAGGTATAAAAGAGAAGGCATGTTCTGGGAACCGGAAATAGTTCAGGGTGACTGAAGCTCTGGGTGCAAAATGAAGGTGGGAGGGTGTGGGGACACCATGGATGTTTATTCCATGTTAGGTGCTTAGATTTTGTCCCATGGGCCGTACTGTGCTTCTGAGCAACCTTCCTCTCTCTTCTTGTTCCAATATTTGAAAAGACACAAAACAAGAATATACTGTTCTTTGAGATCTCATTACTATATCTTAACTGCCAAATCCTTCCTCTGAGACTGCCCATGGTCCACCAAGGTGAGGTCGAACCTTCCACACAGCCTTCTCCTTTACTGGATCTGGAATCGGCTCCTACATCTGGATAGATTCCTCAGAGTATTTGTTTTTTGGGGATATTCTCGAAAGACCACCCAACAGAGGTGTGCAAATTGGCAAAACAAAACAAAGCAAGCCATCCCTCAAAATTTGGTTTTAGATGGTACCGAACTGTATCTACATGGTTAATTGGCTGTCACTGGAAGAGCAAGTAGCTTTCCAATGGAAAATTGCTTGGAGTTGAATTAAAACAGTTTCTTATGCAGCGATCCCAACTTGGGAACCCTGTCCCCTTTGAGTCTGAGTAGATAACAATAGCAGTCCCTAAGGAGTTATC